TAAGGCTCAAAATCAACACCCGAAGAAGCCCTAATCACCACATGAACACATGGAGATTAAACAACACACTCCTGAATGATGAATGGGTCAAAAGAGAAATTAAGAAAGAAATAAAAGTATTCTTGGAGCTAAATGAAAGGGACAATACAGCACAACAAAAGCTCTGGTACAAGCTGAAAGCTTTCCTTAGAGGGGAGTTTATAGCTCTAAGTGCCTATATTAAAAAATCGAAAAGAACACAAATAAATGACTTAACATTGCAACTCAAGACACTTGAAAAGCAAAAAAAAAAAAAAAAAAAAAAACCCAAAAAACCTATATGCTACTAAATTTGAAAATCTAAAAGAAATAGATATATCTAAAGGCATGGGAACCACCAAAACTAAGCCAAGAAGATCAAGAAGAGATTAACAGATCCATAACACAAAAAGAAATTGAAACAGTAATACAAAACCTCCCGACTAAAAAAAGCCCAGGACCAGATGGATTTACAGCAGAATTCTATCAGACATTTAAAGAAGATCTACATCCAATACTACTTAATTTATTCAAAAAGATAGAAATGGAGGGAGAACTTCCAAATTCTTGCTTTGAAGCCAGCATCACTGTAATACCAAAGCCAGGCAAAGATACAACCAAAAAAGAAAATTATAGACCCATATCCTTAATGAACATAGATGCAAAAATTCTCAACAAAATACTTACAAACCGCATACATACACACATCAAAAAGATCATCCACCAAGATCAAGTTGGCTTTGTCCCAGAGATGCAGGGATGGTTCAATATACGTGAGTCAATAAACATCATAAATCATATAAATGGGCCCAAAGTCAAGAACCACATGGTCCTCCCAACAGATGCAGAGAAGGCCTTTGACAAAATTCAACATGCATCTATGTTCAAAGTCCTAGAGGGGATTGGACTGGAGGGAACATACCTCAACATAATTAAAGCCATATACAACACTCCCACAGCCAACATCATTCTAAATGGAGAAAAACTGGAAGCATTCCCATTGAAATCAGTAACAAGAGAAGGCTGTCCACTATCACCAGTTCTCTTTAATATAGTGCTTGAAACT